CAGTTTTTTGGTTCAATGAGTAGCTCATTAGACCATGCTGTTTCCCTAGACATTTTGGGGAAACTGAGGCATGTGTTTTATGACCACTTGTTTACTTTGCATTCCCATTTCCTTTGTCCCATTAAATCTCCTTTCCAGGAGGACTGCAGGCCATCTTTTTGCCTATTTTTCCTGACGTGGTTTCCATGGAAAGGAGCAGCAGACCAGGCAGCCAAGCGCTCTCCCACGCAGCTTCACCAGCACAGACCAGCATCACCACTGAGCACCTCCCTCTTCTGCCGCTGGTCTTGTAGCACAGCTGGGCTTCAAAAGACAATGATTCTCTCCCACATGCTTCAAAGAGAAACCAGGAGTTGCAGAACAATTACTCCCACTCACAGGACGAGGGGAAATCCTCTTCTAACAGGAGATCATCTTGTTAAAATGAGGATGTCTGGCGATTTATGACTTGCTGCTTTAAACCCTCCTCCCCCTACTGAAGAAATACACCAGATAGCAAAGCTGGAGGCAGATACAAGAGAGAGCTGACATTGGCAGACTTGAAATATGGTGGGAGAGATAGGGGAACCCTTTCTTGCTGTCCTCATTAGCATGACTTAATTAATAGTTATAATCTTATCAAATAGTGATTGCCATGCAGGAGGGATGTTCAGGCTGGAAATCAAAGCTATAAGAGACATTTTAAGACCAAAAAACACTACCACGTAATCCTGTCTGACTTCCTGTATAATTGATACCAAAGGTAGAATTTTTCAACTGAAGAAAAAGAAGGTGAATTTAAAAGAAAGCTCAAATTATTATATTTTTGTAATAATTTTAACTAGAAAACCGGACTGTTTTTTTTTGGAAAATTCAACTTATCTGCACTTGATTGGCCTCCATTTTCATTTCCTGCTCTAAGTGCCTTGTAAGTTCCAAAGACTGCATGCTCTGTAGGACTTAGACTTCAACTTTCTTCACTTTTTTCCTTCTGTTACTTACTCCAACTTTTAAGAATATTCACAACTTGGGGAAAAGAAAATGTTGCATTTTGACACTGTGAAATTCTTGCAACCTACATTAAGTACTGCACAAATTAATATCTCTGCCGTCAGCTTTGTTATTTTCTTTGGCATTTTTATAGATTTCCCAGCTAATTTTGTTCATTTTATCCCTAGCTTGGGTCTTAGGAGTGGTGGCACCTCTTAATTTCAAAAATATCTTGGCATCTTGATGTCTGGTGTGGCAGTAAAACAGATTCTCCTCCCAGGAACTGAGAGAAAACAGCTTTAGCAGAAGGCTGTCTCTCACACAGGGAAGTTGAATGGTAGGCCAGCTTACATCAAGAGATAGAAATAGGAAGAAAATGACTCATCTATACCAGGTTTTAAGCGTAGAACAGAAATCCCATCTCAGGAGCCCCAGAGAAGCAGAAGGCAAAGACAGCCAAAAGAGACAGATCTCGGTGTAGGCAGTGCAGTGTGGGGCAGGCCTGAGGGGAGTCAGAAACAGAACAAATCATCCAAATTGCTACCATACCTGCTTCTCTACATGAGGAAAGTCATCCAAACAGATTTCTTGATGCTAAAGGGAGAGAGAGTGACTGTGAATTATAAGGCCACATCCTTACTGGCGGCCATAAATTTGGATAAACCTCCTCCCCCAGTGCTCTGGATTCTTGCATGCTGTCTCCTCAGGCTTTTTCACTCTCACTTGTGAAATATATTACAGTAGCCAAATTACCAGGGGATGAATGACCTCAATAAATTCACTCATTTTGCTCTGAGAGAAGATACCACGCTGTGGAGAACGGAGTAAGAATGTATTTTTCTCCCCAAACTTGCAAGTATTCCCATTGTGTGCCAATTTTATTGGCAGGTGAATTTTTCTTCCTTTGGTTGGGCCCAGTTTGATTTTTTTCCATTCTGCTTCCCACTGTAAATGCCTTTTCCAATTACTGTTTTTTAGCTCATATCAGTGAAATCTGTATGGGGAAAGAGAATAAGGCAGGGCATGTCCTCCTCTGGTATGTATCTGCTTGCTCAACCCATTTCAAGAAGGCTCTTTGCTGCTTTGCCCAGTTCAGGATCTGTGCAGCAGTGCTGTGAACACTGAATGTAATTCTACCATACTTTTTGTAGACAGATTTGCTAAGCCAGTTATGCATGGGAGAAGTTATCCCCCAACTATTCAGCCAAGGAATGGCTGAATATCATTTTTTCTTTTTTTGCAGAATGTACTTATATGTGTACCCCTTCAATCTCACACAAAAATGAAATCTGACACAAAATGAAATATTTATTTCTGAGGAACAGAGATAAATTTTATAGATACAAAATCAGTCCCTCTTCATTTGAAATACAGTAAAAGTGCCGGACCTGCCTTTCATTTTCCTAGCAAGCTGGCTCAGTGCTCTAAGCAAAGAGCTTAGGGCAATGGCATACGAGAGACTCCCAACAGCAGCAAAAGAATTTTAAACCTTACTGGGCAAAATGTCCGAAGCTCCCTGAGGAAAGCCTCAGAATGACAGTTGAGGCAACAAAACACTGAGAAAATCCCTACCTCAAATCCCTATACATTGTGGTTTTTACAAGACCTCGTCAATATTAATGTAGCTTCTCTTCTGAGGACAAACAGAAAGGTCTAAAGCTTCCTTTCAGCATCTATTGAAATAGCTCTCACCTTTCTGAGGCAACAGATGCACAAACCTGGTGCTGGCTGAGAACAGGAGAGGTGCAATTTCCAAGATACAATTAAAAAAAAAACAAACAAACTGATAACCAAAATTAATTAATTAATTTTATGATCATCTGCTAAGCAGCCTAAAATCACATGAGCAGCATCTGTAAGAAGTCAGCACTACTCTGTTTCTGTGCTAGGCGAATCGCTACCATATCTGTAAATGACTTTTACCTCACCCTGTTGTAAGCAAGTAAAATCTGGGCATCAGGTCTGAACTACTCATGGAGTCTTCCCCTGCACTGGCTGGAGTAAGACTAACACTTGTTGGTGGGGGACTATCTCACACTGTGGCATCCCAACTGGTCCAGATGCCAAAATGACACAGAGGAGAACCACAACCATAGTATCTGGAAACATTTAAGGCCAGGCTGGGTGACGCTTTGAGCAACCCGACCTAGTTGAAGATGACCCTGCTCATTGAAGGAATAGCTGGACTAGATGGCCCTGCTCATTGCAGGAATGGTTGGACTAGATGACCCTTAAAGGTCCCTTACAACTCAAAATATTCTGTGATTCAATGACTTTGGACATCTGAGAGTAACATGTAGCTTGAGAAGGGGCTCACTGACAGGTTTGATCCCACTATTGTATGCTGTAGGAGAACATGTGCTGTTTGCTTTCTCCCCAGCCACTGACCTGGACTATGCAGCAGCTCCCATGTCAACTTGAGAGCTGTACGTGGGGCTTGAGGAGCAGTTTGACCATTACAGCTCAGACCAGCTGGGGACAATGTCTTCATTTATGCACATGTGAGAGCAAATCACATGTAAAGGCTCCTCCTGAAAAACTCTGACCAGAATTTCTCCAAAGCTCAGCAGCACCAACAGTCAGCAGTATTGCAGTAGTGGAAAGTTTGTTCCCTTCTGCTTATCACGAGTATCAGAGATGGAGGAAATGAAACTAGAAGTAAATGTCACAACAGCCTCACACAGTTATTTCCTCTAAGATGAACAACAAATGTGCGAGGTCTGATCCAGAAAAGTAAGAACCTCCCAGCAGGTACTGGAGCTGCAGTGAAGCTGTACCTCATTGCAGTTTGTGTTGGAGCTGTTACACAGCAGGGCCATGGTGGTAGCTATAAGAACGTTGCCCTCTAGTTCTTAGAGGCAGAAACCATCTGAGAGGATTTCAGACTGGAGAAGGACACTCAGTCTTGCAACTACAGTTGCCCACAATTAATTTACTTGCTGGTAGACTTTTAGTTATTCTCACACAATTTCCATTTCCTATTTAGTATTCTTGGTATTTTCAATATTACTTTTCTCTCATCAGATGTAAGTCAAGCTACTCTTGACAACAGCCACATAGGCCTCCAACTTGATTCCTTCTCCCTCTGCCTCACTGACCTTGTCTACATCTGAGTCATGGTCAAAAAGCAAAGGATGATTTCAAAATTGCTCTGTTTTAAAAGGCTGAAGGCAAAAGTGGGAATACAGACACATGTGTCCTTCCTGTGTTGGTGTGAAAAACGAAAGAAAAGGTCCCTGGTGTGCGAGTCTCATAAGAGTTGTTTCACCTTGGCTTGTCACTGTTAAAAAGAAAGTAATGGTTTTGCTTTATCTTCTCTTTTATGACATCTGAAGGTTGGGAAAAAAACAGGATACAACTGTAATAGAAAGCTAAAGCAATTGCTTTATAGCCGAATCCTTTCAAAATTCCCTTAAAATGTCAGTGACTACAAAGTTTGCAGGAAAGGGTAATATCCTCTATGAGCTGATTTCAGCTGATAAAGTTGTGAGGACAGAGAAAAAGAGCTTTGGGGTACATGAGCACTTCTTCAAATCTCTGTAGACTTTGAAATGTCATTGTTTCCTGATTTACCTCATGAAACATAAACTTTACTAAGCACGGTACATTGACAAGGTGTGCAAATGTGCCTTTTCAACTTAGAAACAGGGTTGCTTCTGTTCCAGACAGAGCTACCTCTTTGGATCTAAGATGACAAATAATTCAAGTTTAAACATATGTAGTTGCTCGTAGGCCCCAAGATACTTTATGGCAAATTCGTTCCAGCTACTTTTCTCAATGTCCCCATACAAATAAGGCCTAAATATCAAGGCCAGAAACAAGAGAGGAGACAGTTACGTACAGTCTGAGGATATGAAGCCACAGTCACTTTTATTTATACATAGACACATGTATGTGTGTATGTATATATATAAATTAGGAACCCTGAAACTTAAATCCATGTGTGGGAAAGTCTGCAAACAGGGAGAAAGCTGAAGGCATTTTGGAAGAAAAAGGTATTGCTGCCTGCCAGTGTGAATGCAAACTGCATACAGGTTTAGTATCTTATGCTTTTTGGGGCTAAGATTTTCAGCTGGGTAGTTTTCATCTAAATGGAAGTCAGGTGTTTTTCAAAAGGCTTTTTATTTTAATGCATCAAAGTATTTTCCCAACAGAAAAGAACTGGCTTTTGAAGCAGAATGGAAATTTTTAATTCAATCTGAATTTTCTTTTATTTTAAGGGAAAAAAAAAAAAAGTAAAAGCCAGCCATGGAAACCTTCTCACTAAAAATGCTGGCTTTAGGTCAAAAACCCTTTCAAGATTTTTTTCAAATGAAATATTTCCCTTTAAAACTTTAGTTTTTAAAAGAATCTGCTCATTTTTCTTAGGGTTTTTAAGGAAGAGAAGACTAAAAGGTGATAAGTAGAATCAACTTAGAAAATCTTTGTGGGGAAAATTAAGTTAAAATTATGATATCTTACATTAAAAATAATTCCCTTATTTTGATCAAACAGTAGAACATCTGGCCACATCTGACAGGGCTGGCAATACTGTGTAGGTGGCTCCAGGGGCTGCACAACACTGGGGAAAAGTTGCACTGTCAATAAAAACCAACCACGGGCTGTTCACTTCCTCCTTTGCCATATGTTGGGCTCATTAATGGAACATCAAATCTACAAATGTGGACATAAAGTCAGCCTATACATGTCCAGCTTCTGATATGAGCATCCAACCACTGCTTGGGGCCTGTGTTTGAAAAGCAGGGCCATGTCCTGAGGGCTGTAAATCCATTCTTTTTGATGGAAAACAAATCTCAGCGGGTTTCTTTCTTCATTTTTCCTTTTTTTTTTTTTTCCACAAAAGAGTCTTGTATTCTGCACTGTGAGTCTGATTTGCAACGGGGAGGGGGAAGCAGCAAATCCAGTTCAAGGCTTGAAAGATTTCCACTGTCATTGCTAGAGCTCTGTGGAGTCAGAGCCCCTCAGTGCCAAGAACAAACACATCATCACCACCGCATAATGCAAACACGATGCTCTTGTAACCTGCTGTGGGACACTGGGAATCTACCTCCCAGGAGAAAAGGCAGGCGGGGAAAGCCCTGGAAATTTCTTTTGGTGACTAAAACCATACTTTATTGCAAAGTGCATAAAGGACTGTCTCGCCTTTCCAGGCTGACTTCCCACCTGCAGTGCGTTGCTGATTTAATAAGGGCTGAAAGGGATTATCAAGTTGTGAAGTTGCTTGCATCCTACCGGGCTGTAATGAATGAAGGCTTTTGTTCGGCTCAGCCTAACTGAATGCTTCTTGGAGTGATCATAGCTGAGGAAAGGCTGTAAGTGACCAGTGGTTTTGATACTTGTTAATACTTGAACATTAGACGATGAAATGGTGGGTGCATAAACTCTTTGTTAGTACTGTAGTGGGCTTCTTTCCCTTAGTCCTGCCCCAACACTTGCTTCAGGTGAAGTCCTTGCAATGGTTTTTCAGTCTGCTTTGGTAGCTCAGCATTCAGTGAAAGAGAAAAACTATCTTCAACTCCTGTAATTAACAAGCAACAGGAAAGTTCCCTCACAGGTCTCTGCTTTCATTTTTCTCCTGTAGCTCTGCCCCAGGTTGCCTTACCCTTGGGGAGTTTGTATCAGTTGCAGTTCTGCTTACAAAAATAATGACAAGAAAGATGCTCATTCCCTGCCAATTCCCTGCAAGCCAGTTTGCATTCCTGCTGAGGAGGACAAAGAGTGCCACAGGCATGCTGGGGTAAAAGCGTCTTAATCCGTCTCATTTTCAACCCCATAAAAGAGCAGAGCAACTCCACACAATTAACAGACACAAACCCTACCTCTCCCTTTGGAGGCAGAGCTGTCTGAGTGACAAGAAGTTAAAACTTCATTCTTCCTTAATAGGATGTTTTTATAAATCTGGCACCTACACGAGAAGCTGGAGTTGATCCTCTCCTAGATGGTCCTCCCTCTTTTGTGGAAGGTCAAACCTGCCCTGTTACAGCCTTCTTCTCCCATTGTGTCTGGTTTTTGCTCCCTCTCTTGTTCCCAGTCCCTCTCATGCTTCCTGCCCATGTGTGAACTTTATCTTGAGACACTCTTGACCATTTTCTGTGTTGGTGTTCAACACAGTGGTACAAACATGAGCTTTACCAGATCAGGAGAAGATGCAGAGCCCCACATCTGTCTTCATCTGGGAGACCTTAGCAAGTGCAAGCTGTCTCAATGTTTCTGCTCTTCTTTGAAATTTCCTTCAGAATATGTCATCTACCATTCAAGAGTCTGGAGCAGCTAATAAAAAAAAAAAAAGTCTGAAATCTTCCTAAACTTTCCCCTTGATTCAAGAAGATAAGCAACCTCACCACTTGCTCTCTGGTTCTCATCTATATACTCCCATATCTTTTCTTGTCACTGTCTCTCCATCATTTTCAGACATTTTTTCATTTTGTTCTCCCACTCCTGACTCTGAATGCTTCTTCCTTCCTGCAGATGATGTTTGGGAAGGGACCTCAGCATACTTAATCAAGTAGGGGATTGACCCTCTCCAACTTCAGTCTCCCAAGTCAGCCAACAGCTCTTTCCATACTGCTTCTACGATTAACGAAGAGAGAAAACTCCTCCAACAGCTGAGGAGCCATTCTTAAGCCAAACGCCTTCCCTGAAACCTTTCAGAAGCACCTGACTCTGTTCCTTGGGAACCTAGGAAGGTTTGTTAAGTTCTCTGGCAAACAGATGCCCCTTGAAGTGCTATGGCTATATCACAAAGACACCACCTTGTCCTATTTCAGGTGCTGCGTAAGTGCTCATTTCTCCTATTATGATGTCAGAAAGGTGTATAACAGTTAAAGGAAGAAAAAGAGAGCAATTTGGGAGTTCATGATGGGTTTTGTATTCTCTAGTCTAAGACATCAAAAGGGCTATCCAAGCCAAATTAGCTTAATGTCATAGGAGCATAGAATCATTCCAGCTGGAAGGCGCCTCAAGAGATCTCCTCAAAGAAGGGTAAGTGATGAGGTAAGACCAGGTTACTCAGCATTTCGTATCAGAAAAGCTAAGTGGTTTAGTTGATTAGTTGGAGGAAGGTGAAGAAGAATGAAGCATATGCAGTTCCCACAGCAATTCTGGGCTCCTATTTGTTGGAAATAAAGAAGTGAGGTGGGATGAGGAAGTTCTTCCTTTAGGTGTGTGGTCCACAATGGAGTCCAGGCTCCAGCAGCTGCAAACACCTGAGATAATCAGGTGGAAAAAGTCACTGCTGGGGGTGTTACTTGACTGCCGTTCTGATGGTGACTGCATTACAGGAGCAGCTGCACTGCAGAGTCAGAGGTAGCATCAAATAACATGAACTGATTTTTCCTTAACATTTATGTGCATGGAGAAGTCCTGTTTTAGAGTGAACTGGTTTCTTAGCAGCCAGTTTTCGCCTCCCCAAGACTTTGTTTCCTGACTCATGTTTACCAGCTGGAGAAAACATGACAAAATAGTGAAAAGAAAGAGATCTGCCTTGAGCATTAAACTTCATTGCTGAAAAATTAGAAACTACTGTTTGGCTTGCCAAGGCTTTAATTGTCAACTGATGTAAGAAAGGCTCTCATTTAGTCCCTGTTTGCATTCACCAGGGGGTTCATAAAACAATTACAAGAATCTAGTAATAATCTTCTTTCAGCCTCTCCAGTCAGTCCAAAATATCAACCCAGTAAATGACTGCTCATATGTGAGGTCACCAAGCCATTGACCGGATCTCTGACTCGTTGATTTTAGTATTATTAATTGTTTTTATTAGTTACAGCTACTACAGGGCATGTGAATCATTCAACCCGTCTGTGGTCCTTAATAGCTTGACTGTATTATCCTCATCAAAGTTGGTCCTTTATTTTTCCCCATCATGTGATCTTCAAAGTCATCTTTGGATGGACTGAAAAACAGAAATCTCAAAGGCAATTTTAGGCTAAAACAAAACCCAACAACTCTATATTTTTGATATGTTCAAAATACTAAAATCTGACAGGGCTAGACTGTCACCTTGTGAACAGTCTAAGACAAGCATGAGACAGCCACAGATCCTGGTTGGGAGTAAATCAGTGTATTCTCCCCACTAGCTTGAGGGGCTCAAAGCTACTGAATGACAGATTCTGCTACTTCAGGTTACCTTCAAATCATTACACATACTGAATATTAAATTATATATTTTATTGTTAAGTGGTTGCTGAAAATCCTGTCTTGTGAGTGAATGAAAATTAAAACTTTAAGACTGTTTTGTGTTCTTTTTAGCATTAATATTGTTTGAATGCAAGTTGTATTTCATGCAATATCCCTGTCATTTTAAAAACAAATTAGCCTGTTGCAGACCAGATCTTTCCGTAAAACATTTGTTCAGGCCTGGATCTGAAAATTTCCAGCTCTTGCAGTATAGACTAATATTTCACCCTTTGATTTTGATAGCTATGCATGAGGAAAGGAACATTTTACCAATACTGTATTATTTGCTAAGGAATTGAAGCATGTGATAAGGTCCGTGGAAAACCAGGATGATCTAGAGACCCTGAGATCTCAACTGAAATATTTGCTCAAGTGTTTCATTAATGTTATGATCTGCCTGGGCTTCTGAGTTGATGTTGGTGTGAAATTCATGTCAGAGAGACAGAGCAGTCAGATTTAATTCCCTTCCTCATAAGCTTGCACACAACTTGTAGGCAGCATGGTATTGAAATGTGGTGACTTTGACTTTCTACCTCACTGTTCTTTAAATCCAGTGTAATGACAAGTTAAAAACAGAGGGAATCCAATAAATGATACTAAATAACACAAAAAGTCAGATGGCATTTCTTTTTTGTCCTATGGATTGTTGGTATAACTCTGGATAGAAATATTAATCTCTTGTGGGATTTACAATTACGTCATAATGAATAAAATACTCTTAATTAAAAATATTGGTCAGATTCAAATATTTCTATAAGGAAAAATCTGTAACTCAGGGCTTTTTTTATCTGAAGATGGAACTATCTTGGAAATAAAGAATTATTTTCATATCAAGGAACCGGCAGAAGATTCTATCACTCATTGCTTCCAAGATCAGAACAATTTCCTCTCTTATGGAAGAGGAGTAATTTATACTTACTTTGTATGTAGTGGTGAGAGAATAGAGCTTAATATAGTGGTAATAAGACGAGCTGCTAAAAGCATTTACATAGAAACCAGCAACTTGGAATGTTTTTTTCACCACTGCTACTGAAAATGGGCCCATATTTGAGGGGTATCTTTCCTACAGGTCTGCATACATTATGATTTGAACAGACCTAATATTTTTGGCTTCTATTTTTGGCTTTTCTTCCCTCAAGTTAAATAGTGGCCAATTTGCAAAGTGTCCCTGCATAAAAAGAAAAAAAAAAAAAAAGAAAAAGAACCAAAACCCCCATAAATGCTCCTTTGTCATGTTTGCATATAAGGCACAATTTAGCACATGGAGAGAGATGGTAGAGGGATGTAGTATGACATTTTGCAAGAAAGTCGTGCAAAAGTTTTATGTAAGAGCGCAGGAGGTTGCAACTCTCTTCTATTTACAGATTTCCCTCTCTGCTGCCTAAACTCCAGCTGAGTTCAGTGAGAGTTTAGCCATTTAGCCAGTAACTCTGTGGACTGGGCACCAAGTTATCACCTTAAAGCTTAGATAAATTATGTATTTCAGTGTTTCTAAGACAGTCTCCAAATTGGCACTTTTTTTTTTGCTGATCTGACCAGAGGTCCAAGAATGACTGAGCCTAGAGACAAGACTCATTGGCAGCTAGAACTTGGAACTGGGATTTCACAGGGTTGGAACAAAGGCACTGTACAGCATCATCTTTTGTTTATGATTTGGCAGATTTAGGGACTGTGAGAAGAGGTGTTCTCAATAACAGTAAGCAGAACTGCTAACATAGCCTTTAAACATTGCAGCTCAAGATCAGTTTGGTTTAGGCATTTGCCAAAGCTACTTCTTAACAACTGACTTGAAAACTGCGAGGATGAACTGTCTTTTTTCCTCCCTATGGGGCAACCACATTTTGACATTGTGGTTCCTACATGACCAGAAAATAATTTCATATGCTGGAAATGAAGACAAGGGAAAGGAAGGGGGGGGGAGATGAAATCTTTTCTTTTCCTCCTCCTAAGTTAATGAATTTTTTTATAAATGTGTAAGCATGTCACCATTCCAAGCCACATCAAATCACTCCTAAAATCTGTATTTTAAAAACAGGAATGTGTATAATATGAATGGCTTAAGGAATAAAATGCAAAAAGATGTCGATGATGCTGGATTGCCAGCCAGCTGGAGAATTAAAAAAGAGAGGGAGAGAGAGTGATGAAGAGAAGAACAAAAACGCCCGTGTTTCACTGGCCAAGTCAACAACCGTGTTTTTTCAGTCACCCCTCATTATGGAAAAGTGTACTCAGGTTGTCCTGGAATACCAGTTCACTGTTTTTAAGGAGTCACATCAGGAAAAAAAAGCATGATGCAGTACACAGCATATGATGGGGAACATCTGGACACCAAACTACTGGAGCTGCCATGTTTTGCAGAGGGATGGCTCTGAGGATGAAATGGAGTGAACTGTAACAAATACAGGATTTTGCTGGCAGCTTTAATTTATTTAAATATATCCCTGGCTTTTGAGCTGTTTCTTTGTTTTGGATAATATTTAAACATGTCAAAAATCCTCTGTCTTTCCTGCCTTTCATTACACATGACAAGGAGCGGATTGCTTTGGCCATCTGTAGAGTAGGAATGAACAGAGCTACATCTGGATGGGCTGGGGATCGCATGAACGCTCACAGCAAGCCACAAGCAGTTCACTTGAAACCTGCCTTTCCCTGGATGAGCTGAGATACTATCACAGTGTTTGCCAGGGTTTGTTAAGTAGAGTTGGGGCCTTGTAGCCAAACACTTCTAGCACATGTCTGGGGGCCCTCCCTAAAGCTAGGCACCTCTGCCAATCCTGCATGTGTCTATGAGTTGTGTTTGATAATAACATCTGGCATTTATTGTGTGACATCTTGAGCATATGAAGCTATTCCTGAAGCTTCCCTGTAGCCCTACAGTGATTACAAAAGCTTCAAGGGACAATACAGGAATGAATGTGGCAGCGTTTAGGAGAGGGAAGAGCTAATAACAGTGTGGTCAACCTAGAGGCTCAGAGACTCACCTGGCTTGTGCCAAAGCTGCAATGTGCTGCCTTAGGGTGCTGGTAAGACCCAAAACCCTACCTGAGAAGAAGCAAAGGGTGAGCTGATGAAGTAGCTGCCACTGACTTAATCAAGGACCAAGCCAAGCTGTCCCCAGGAGGTGGTGACATGATAGCTAAGAAGCCACCACTATCCCCTGCCTGTGAACTAGTGCCAAAGGTCTCCCTTGGCTCTCTGATGTATGGGTACATGTCCCATGGCTGTCAGCTGTATGCTGCTCACAAGGATCAGGAAAGATGGTAGGTGGCCACTTCTCCCATTTGTGTGCTGTTTCTCCCTTTGAAGCTGTTTCCATCTCAGGAGGTATGCTTGGTTCCTCCTTTTACATCTAAATACTAGAGAAAAGTATAACATTGTCCAGCTTCAAGAGGAAATGTCTGGGTTTGGCCTGAGTTGCTACACACAGTCAGTGAAGTCCTTCTTCAGGATGTCAGTGTCCCTTCCTGAATTTGATGGTGTACAGAAATACTGTTTGTAATCTTTTCTAAAGAGAAGATCTTGACTGCAACTGCAAAACTGACAGACACCTCTTTTGGGCTGAGAAGATGGAAAGAAAAGGTTAGGGCATGTTTTTGGATCTGACCATCAAAATAATCTGTTCCACATTTGTTATTTTGTAGGTTGGTTGTTTTTTGATTTTCTGTTTATTTGTTTGGGTTTATTTTTTTTATTAGTTTAGTTTAGTTAATTTTATTCTATTTTAGTTCATTATAGTCTATTTTATTTCATTTTATTTTATGGAATTTAGTGGCCCTTAAGTTGTAGGATTTATGGCATGTGACTCTGACAGTAAGAGATGACCATATAAGACACTGACCAGTTGGCCTGAACTGACCTGACTCGTGGATAGAGAAATTGTCTCTTTCTCTGTGCCTGCAAACACAGACTTTGACACAGCTAGTGAGCCCTCTTAGCAAGGGGCCAATTAATCATAAATGCTGGCTTTCATTATGTAGATGTTTCTTCTTTTGAAATGAGGCTCAGCCTGCCTACTTGCAACATTTCATGGGGTATTTTCACTCGGTATAGAGTGGGCAGTAATGCTCCCTTGTTGCATCAGGGATGGTTGTGCATCGATGACGGTGCTGGAAAGCCCTCACTGGCACCCTGACTCATGGTTTGCATGACATTGAGCTTGTCCTAATGTGTTTTTTTTGCAGAGGGAGAGGAAACATGTTGCTCAACACAGCTCAGACTTCACTTCCAAACATCGTCATGAGGGTGAGAAGGGTAGACAGGATTCATGGCCAGCACTGAAAACCACAGGGTGAATAGCAGTGAAGGAGCTGCTGATGGACAGGGGGACGAATTAAGTAAATCAGCCAGTGCTGGCTCTGTGGTGGGAAAGATCAGCACCTCCAACAGTGTTTTGATCACTGTAAAAACTGCCCAGCACTAAGCATTGACTGTGTTGGGGATACTTAGAAGACCTGAGCATTCCAGCCAGGGCTGGCTGCCATGGGGAGGCAGAAGCCATGCCAGGCATGCCATGGTCTTGCAGCTCCTCACTGCTCTTATCTGCACCCTGTCTAGCAACCAGAGCTATTCCTGAGTCAGGAAAATTTCTGAATGCAAAGATTACACCTACAGGGTTTCATGAAAGAAAAAAAATAACAAAATCTGAGCTCTCCCTTTGCTGACGCCAAGCTGTTGTCAGCTTAAAGAAAATGTTTTCTCTTTGTATTTGGACAGTTTAACAGATTTATTTCCCCCTCTTTTCCCTCCTCCTCCTTGGATGAAGGTTGTAGGGTTTTCCACAAAATACTTTTGGAGGAGCCAAGCCTTCAACACCAGCAGTTTTTACTCAGACTGTTGGAATGATCAATAAATCGGCAGCAACTGATCTCAGAGTCTGAGGATGTCTACAAGGCACAAGCAGCTCTTTTAGGTAAGCCTGAGCAAGTGAGTAAGTCCAGTAGCTCTGGAGCCAAACCCTAAAGTGGATGCAAAATCATATGGGGAGCCAGTGCTGTGATTTTCACTACAAGGGTGATGTAATGATTGAGTACAGTTCAAGTAAGTAATCTAGTCATCTGTTCGCAATTTTGAATTATGGCTGATGCAGTCTCTGCCTGCAAGCCAGAGAAAAAGAGTGAGAATTACAGCTATTGAGTCAAGCCAAAGGCAGGGATCAGCAACTTGGCATCAGCTTGGGGAAGCAGTGGGGATGGGGGCTGCACAATTCGAAATGCAACTTGGGGTCTACCATGAGCCTGAAATTTGAGAGACACTTGAGATCTGCACAAAAGATGGTAGATGGACAGTGCACCAGGAGGTAGGGGCACCTATATCTGATCATCACCTCAAAGAATTTGAGAGGCACCAATCCTAAGCACAAGTAACCAAATGTGAATCCATACCATTCAAGACAACTAGTTTGAACAGATACTCATCTGTGGTGTTTGAATTCCACTTAAGAAAATTTAGAGCCATCCAGGGCCTGACCTTTAGCAAACCACAAAGGCAACCCATAAACCACAAGGCTGGAATCAGCGAGAGAGGACAAGCAAATCCAATATATTAGCATAGACTTTCAACTGTAGCTGGTAACCAGGGATATTACAAACAGGAGACATACCAGTAGCATCTATGTAAGATCTGAAAGTGTAAAGTTGGATTCATGAAGGGCTTCACTGAGATCATCACCCAAGAGGGGGAATAATCCAACATGATGTTTAATAATAGTAAGTGGCTGACTTCACCACCAGGAGGAAACAAAATATTTTTAAGTGTCAGAAACCGTAAAAACATGGCATGATTCATCTTAAAACAAACAGTTCCTCATGTGAATCTTAGAGCAGAGGTTACATGGAAAGTCCCAAGATGAGACAAAAAAGCATATATTGCGAGCTAAGCAGTGTAGGGCCTGGTCATCTGAAGACATATTGGGACTGGGATACTAGAGGATGTACTAGCAATTGGGAAACTTAATCTCCTTCTCAAAGCCAATACCAGAACACAGTTTTTTGACAAGATGAATATGTTCCCTGTAGAGTGTATGTCTGAGAGATTATCCACTAATGATGGAAGATCTTTGAGCATTGACCAAAACTGTAACAAATAATCCATTGCACTAGTCATTTACATCAAACCTGCAGTCTCTGATGAAGGTTATATTTTTCCCACTCTGAGTTCTAAGCTGACTATAAAGAATATGAAGATAAAAACATCTCTTCTGAAATTTTTGCATTTAAAATATCCCAACTGTTTGTCAAATAATGTTATGTATAATTAAATAATTAAAGCCTGAGGTGGCTGACTTTCTTCTATGAGAGAAATGATGCATTAAAACTTTTGTACAGATGTCTAGTGACCTCTTGTTCATGGTAGGGAGGAAGAGATTACTCAAAGCTGGAATGTCTTTGTAATAATCTCTTGTGTTTACTGTGGCTGCTTTATCTGCTTTATCAGAGACTTATATGTATCTTAAAAGTCTCACAGTGATTCAGTGGAGCTCTGTTGACATTTGTATACTTTGAGGGTATTTGGGTCAATAGTGTAAGACCAGCTGTGGCATTTACCCCCGTAATTGAGTTCAGTAGTTGAAATACATGCTTTGAAAAACATCTTGCTCGTTTTGAAGATATTATTCCTATCTGCTGCATATTTGATGATCTTTTTTGGAATTTCTGAAAACATTTTAGGAAGAATAACTATCATTCATTTGCCCGATTATTTGCATCAAGACTAGTCACTCTAAAAGCACCTGTAACCGTTAAGCCTGGTTTCCAAAGGATTTGTATTTCATGTCAGCTGACTTTTAAACTCAATTACACTGAGGATGCAGGTGAACTAATCCTGCAATAGGCATCAGAGAATCCATACTACAACAAAACAGCGATGTGGGATGCAGGTTTTTCAATGTCTTCAAAGCCAGTAGTGCTGGCAGAAGCCTTTGCACAGTTGGCACTTCCATGTCTACCGTCCTTTACATGGAGTCTCAGGTATCTAATAAAAGCTGGGCTCTCAATGCAGTCTTTTCTTCTTTGGGAGAATGAAGGGACCTTTCCTTCTTCACTTAGCCACCTATTTTTATTTTCAAAAATTACAAGGATGTAATGCATCTAAACCCTCTAATTTGCTGTAAATTTTGGTTGAAATAGTTAAAAAAAACCCTCAATGTGCAGATTGTCACACAGACAGTGACTCACTATGTCTGAGTGAACCCTTTCTTCTAAGAAAGGATTGTTTTTGTCTGAGGAAAACTCTCATGGCATTATTTATGACATTTTGTAGCCTAGTAGCTCCAAGGCTGGAAGATTGTTACTACCACTGCAGGTACCTAGATCCAAGCCCCATTTTTGAGATGAAGGCTCACACAGAGTGCTGCCTTGCATTTCAGTTTTCTTTTTGGTGTCTGAAATGTGGCAGCTCTCACCCCTTTTACTAATGAAATTAATTTTATCCCTTTAAAAAGTCTATGGTTGTCCTTAATCCCCATTATGAAAACTCTGGATATTCTTTTTATCATGCTACACTCTTGGTCCCACTGCCTTTCGTTCCTTGTCCACAGCCTAAGCAAAACAAGCTTAAAAGAGCAAGGGGATGCATCTTTGTTGCTTTGACATGAGGCAGGAGTAACTCTGCTCAACATTCATTTCAAAGACATGTTAGTAAGAGCATATAATCTAAAAATACCAGGGACCAAGATAAATCTAGACAGATTTTAATTGGGGTTGGGGTAGAGTGGTTGTAAACTCTCCAGTAGTGTGGAGGTGGAGGCTTAAAACCTCAGCTTGGCCACTTGATATGATCTGAAACATTTTACCTCTTAGGATCAAATACATCCCAGGTTTTTTAATCTGTTCTTTCTAAGTATTTATTCTGCATTCATTTCCACGTGACCTAAGTACTGATGTGGTTTCTGTGCGCGTTGTTCCTTTCAAAAGTAAGTTGATGACGCTTGCCTTTCACCTGGAGGCACAGGCTGGAGGACAGAGGTCTTGAAATTCATTATTTCATGTTGATACACAGCTGCCAAATAACACCTTGTTGAAATAATACTTATATCATAAGAAAAGTCCCTAGATGGAACTAGATGTTCTTTAAGGTCCCTTACAACCTAAACCACTAAATGATTCTGTGACTCTACTTAAACAGAAGATAATTTCTGAAAGATAACACTGATAGAACAACATTTCTCTACCAGGTTGTGCAGTCCTGGTCCTTCAAGCACTTTCCCTGGTACATGTCATCTAGGATCTGGGTGGTGAGCTTGCATTATGCCTTGGAAAGAAGGCAAATTCTATGATGCTTTACAGGAACTGGCTACTTTGGTCTACCCCAGTATTTAAATCTTGATACCAACATTTTTGAGTGACTATTTCAGGAGCTTTTTTACTTAAACTACTCAACTCTTGACAATTCTCTCTCCTTTCCCCTCCAGCTACCCCACTGAAAGAAAACTCTAATTTCGCTACAGCAAATCTCACTAACAGTCAACATGCTATGCATTGGTCTGCTTCAGGGTGACCAAAAAACAAGTCTGAAGCAAATCTGGCTAATCAACCTTGAAACTGAAACCAGTGAAAAAAAGCCTCAGTTGGGTACAATTTTATTATTGTACCATGGGCTAGCCACAGTTTCTAAAAATGTCTTCAGAGTTACCCAAAGATAGTGTTGCAGTCATTAATGTCACAGATATTGTTGCCCAAAACAGTTGCTTTATGTTACAGTGGACAGTGAATTCCTTCTTATCCCATTGTTTTCAGAGCTACTGTGTTTGGGACGTTCCAGGACTGCTTTAAATTGGTTCAATTCTTTTCTGACATGTCAGTCACTAAATGTTCAGGGAGCGTCTCTAATCCTGTCCAGATGAGCTGTGCATTCCAAGAGGTTTCTATTTTTGGATGTAGGCTTCTGCCTATATGCTACTGTTGGGCTCAGATTCATTCAGAGGAATCACATTAGCTGGTATGCAGATTTATTTCTTTGCTTCTGTTGAATGTGAACTGAAATTGTTTAGTTTTGCCACTTGTCTTTCTGGGGCAGGGGGTAGCTCAATGTCCTTCCTTTGCATTTTTCATAAATTGGAGTTCTTTTCCGATGAATCAGAGCCTGATTTTTATTAGTTTTCCATAGGGGTTGCTTCCTCCTGCTACCACTTAATTTAGTGGGAATTTTTATTATTCCCAGTTCTTTAACAGCAGCTTATTGGGACCGCAAACAGGATTGGAAACTCTCTGTGTTCGCAGGGTGACACACTGAAAGAGACAATTTCTGCTTCAGAAATCAGAATTTTGAAAGAAAAGACATATAAGAAATATGAGAAAAATAATAATGTTCTCCGTAATACAGGTAGACACAGAGATCTGGATTGCCTCTTATACCCAGTGTCATCCAGCACGTCTGCTGGACAGCTTCCCACTGGACATCTTTCCAGTCTCAGCATGACACCTGACCTCAACTTTTCTTATGTCTGTGGATAAATTTCAGATTTAAAATTAAGAATCATGTTCCAGCAGTATGAAGTATGATTCGAACCAAACTCAAATAGAAATATCAGCCAATTAAGTTTATTTTGATTGAAATGCTCTAACACAATAGGCTGCCCTCAGTTGTATGCATAACATCTCTGGTTATACTGTCTTGGAAAACGACTCATATATTTGTCTAACCTCTATTAGACTTGGTCTAAGCAGCAAAGATTTGGGTTGGGAGGACTTGGATGGCCTGAAGTCAGTTTGGCTTTGGTAGTTCTGGTGAAAATAAATGGTTTAGTAAATGTCACTGAAAATCTCATCTGGGGGCTGCACAGCTGTTCAGTAGAAGTTTATTGGGATTGACGCACTTGTTTTTTCCAGTGCCTATACACTGACCATAATGCAGCCCAGAGCTACTATGGAAGACCACAAATTTCTCACCAGTTGCACCTCCCACTTGGAGTCC